TTTCTCGATAGAGTCGATTTGATAATCCCTAAATTGAATAATTTGCATCTCAACCCAAGGGAAAAGGTAAATTTTGCTTTGAGCGAATTTCACATAAAACTGTAATCTCACAACTATTGTAATAGATCCGAGAACTTCAAACCCCCCCATTTCCCCAAGAAAAGAAAAGGGCTTGGGTGTGTTAAACTTTACTTTGAGGGAAGCACCCATATCCAATATATGTAACTTAACCACACAAAGGTGTGGAGGTGAACCTCATTTATTGTTCATTGTGTGCCAAGTCTACAGATAAGCTGAACTGCTGGCAGAGCCCTAAAAACTCTTCAACCTGTAAAAGAAAATTTACAGGGGGATGGCTTTTTCGTCTGGTTAATAGCTTGTCTTCGGTGTGGAGAAAACAGTGGTATCAGGGAAGGTGAATGGATTTAGAATTTATTTTAATTCATTGACTGGGATTGAGGCTATAAATAAACTACTGAAATTATCTAGCTTTGCTTTGCATTTGGTTCCAACTCCACGAATGAGAGGGAGTGGGTAAAGGAGAGAGACAATCATAGTCGTATATTCCTAATAATATACTTTTGCTTCCACTTGCTTTATACAAGTGTAAGGGAAGTGAACGACATATGCATTTTTCTATACATTCTATTTCAAAGGGGCTGAAAGACCTGCCCAACCCCTTCAATTTTACTCCTTATGAAATAATGGTCCTATTTTACTTTTCTGTCTCTTTCTGAATCCCTTCACGTCAACTAAATCTGTTGTTGTTGAATTCAGATTGGGTTTGAGCTGGTTTGAGTATTTCAGCTCATATCTGTTAAATGTGCCTTGGTGTGGCCCTTCCCTAGACCCCGCGCATAGCGGGAGCTTAGTGCACCGGGCTGCCTTTTTTTATCTGTTAAATGAGCAGAATTGGGAGCTTAATTAATCGTAGGTCATGTAAATGTAGATAACATTTCTTGTTATGGATGTATGATGTGTCTCACCTTATTTTCAGTACAAGTACCATGCTGTCTTACTTGATTAGGCCTATGTATAATAATGAGATAGGAGAAAAGTTATTAAAAGAGATGCCCAATCGCAATTGCTGGACCAAGTAAATATTTGCTCATCTGTGAATAGAAGGCCATAGGATAAAAGGAGGAAGTCTTAAGAAGAAGAAGAAGAAGGTAAAGTTTTAGTAGGTTTATGAGAAAATTTCCATTTTTTTGTTTATAGATGTTTTCTTCTGATCGCGTGTAAGTTTGGAATACCCAAGAAGAAGAAGCTAAAGTTTTAGTAGGATTATAAGAAAATTTCCTTCTTTTTTTTTTTATTTTTATAGATGTGCATTTTCTTCTGATCACGCGTAAGTTTGGAATACCCAAGAAGAAGAAGAAGAAGCTAAAGTTTTAGTAGGATTATGAGAAAATTTCTTTTTTTTTTGTTTATAGATGTGCATTTTCTTCTGATCTCGCGTAAGTTTGGAATACCCTCTCCCCTTCTCTATAACTCTCTTGCTGCTCGCCTCTCTCTCTCTCCCAAAAACCACCCCCACACAAAACCCAAAATCATTTTCTTTTGCTGTTCAATCTTGAGCTACACCTGACCCTGCTGGACTATCTTCTGCTGCTACTTTTTCGTTGTTTCTGAAACATTCTACTAGTCTTCCTATTTCTTGTTACTGGCTTACTGCAACTCTTTTGTCCTTTGCTACTGTTTAATCAACAGTCAACATCTTGATAGCCCACCTATATGTGATCATCCGTTGTCATTATTAAAAGAAAAATGATAGTCAGTTGCTCAGTTCACCTATTTCTTTCTGCAAAATCTTGCAATTACTGTTAATTTTCAGTCCTGTGAGACCGTGGAATAGTACTGCTGTGTCCGAGATGTAAGGCAAAAGTCACCCATGGGTTAAATGTAGGGTTTATCTCATTAATCCAGTGTCTACTTTTATTCTACTAAAATGGAAACTTTGTCAATAACATAAAAACAAAAAAAGGGAAATGCAGCAAGCAAGGCAGTCTGCGAGTTGTAAGAACTTGGATACTGGTCTCTGTTAAAGCTGCAGCGTAAAGGTACATACACTGATGTAGCCTGTAGGTGTGCTTCTGAAAAGGTGTAAAGGAACTTGTCATGGAGCAAGTATATATTTAGGAGATGAAAAAATGGAGGTGACTACCCACCTTCTCTCCCTCCCCTTGGGGTGGTGGGGAGAGGAGGTGCGTGATGGAACGAAATTGAAGGTGGCAATTTTTTGTTTCATTGTTATTGACTCTATAAGCTATTGGCAAACTCCTCTCAGTTAAAAACTTAATATCTCATGGTCAAAAGATAATATATAACATACTGTGCTTTCTTTTGCTGCAAATTGTCTAATTTCTTTCCTTATTTGGTTGGTAATAAGTTGTCTAATGCGCTTTCTGCTTTCTGATTGCTATATATTATTACAAAGGTGGAGTTAATATTTGGCCGCCTTCTTAGTTTGATATGTTTTATTCAAATGTTAACTTGCAGGACCCGTTCCTTAAGCCCGATCGGAAGCAGGAGAAGGCACCTTCAAACAAGTGAGAAATGCGTGTGATTTTCTCTGGTTTGGGGTTTTCTGTTGGTTTGATTTGTCACTACATTACGGCCCAATAAACTCAAATTTTGAGCATTAGCTTGAATGTAGGTTTTCTTTTGTTGGCTTTCTTTCTGTACTCTTTCTCTTCACAGAATATGAAAGTATGCTCCAAACAAGAGTCCTAGGTTGGGAACTGGTCATCTCCTGTTTCGTGACGCTTTATTCAGGTTATGAATAGAATAAAATGTGGAGATGCGACAAATTTGATATTGTGCAGAAAGTAAGACAGGTGCTGTTGCATTATAGGTTGGCAAAAGACGAGCTTGTTTATTATCAAATTTACCTTTATCGTAATACTTATTTTTTATTTTTGGGGGCAGTTTTTTGATGGGTTTGCTTTTATGTTTGTGTGCGCGCGCTTATGTTGATGCAATGGGGTCAACATGAATGAAGAATATGGCCATGGAGGGTTTTGCCTTCTGCTATCTCTGTCTAAGGGCTTGGTCCAGCCAAATTAGCAAGCAGAGTGAAAGGCTTCATTATTCCATATCTGTGACAGCTGTGGGATCAGCAAAAATAGAATATAATGGGCCAAGTAGACATGTGCTTCCTTGATATTATTCTCTCTTTGGGGGAGATAAGTGTCAAACTCTACTTCCAAAAAAAAAAAAACAGAAAAAAAAAGGAAAAATAGATGAGGGAACAGAGATTTGAACTCTAAAACCTGGTATAGGTCATGACTTGCCGAGTTTGGATTTGAGACGTATTTGAAAATATTCACCAAGAGTTAAAAGGTAGATTTTAGGTGTATTATTTGGTTTTTAATGGTAATATTTTACAGTTATTATCCAAAAAAAAAAAAAAAAATTAA